CCCCAGCTCACCAGTCCGCCACTCCACACAACACACACACAACGCGACGAACTGCGTGAACCGAGAGCGGGCGTCAATCAGCAACCTTCCTATCCACGACGCTTGACGTGTCGGGATAGTCTCGGACTTAAGTCACCCGCGCAGTCGAAGCCGCATGGGGACCGAGTCGAGATGCGGACTTCCCACTTGCGTGGGAGGTGGCAGTTGGGTACATGAGGTGTGTCAGTGTAAATTTCTGGTGGGGTGATGGTGGTGGTGGTGGTGGTGGAGGAGGAGGTAGGGAGTGAGTGAATGTGTGGTGTGACCGGCGGTTGTCTACCACAGGTCGTCGTGGATGCGCATGTGGCCGAATAGGCCCATACGATGCCTGAAAGTGCGAGGGCAGTGTGGGCAGTTGAGACGAGCTTGGTGGGTATAGGTGGGTGCTCCAGGCACTGGGTCGCCAGTCTCTGTGCGATGGATTCGCAAGTGACCGACCAGGCCGATGCGTGAGGTGAAGGTGCGGTCGCAGTGAGGGCAGGTGTAGTCCTGATCCTCATCGCTGGAGTCGGAGGAGGTGGTGGTGGTGTCGGTTGTTGCGCGCGGGACAGTCGCCTGAGCGGCCGCCGTTGGAGCAGTGGGCGAGGAGGAGGAGAAGGAGGAGGAGGATGATGATGGAAGTGGTGGGTCAGAAGAATTGTCAGAGTTAGTTGGCGACGGAGATGAGGAGGAAGAGGCGGGCGGGGGGACGATGGTTGATGCCGTTCGAGAGGCGCAGTTAATCCGAAGATGTCCAACAAGTCCGATTCGTGCCCGGAATGTCCGTTGACATCGAGGACACGTTGGAAGCGGTTGTGCGGCGGCGTTGCTTACTGGGCGAAGTTGTGATTTGCGGGCTTCACGTTTCGCTTTGGCGGCAGCGATGCGGTTGGCTTCGTAGATCGCAGCGCCTGTCTTCACTGTCCTCCTCCAGGTCGGTCGGTCGAGTGCGAGCTCCTCCCAGTTGGTGGGGTTGATTTACAGACGTTTCAGGGAGGACTTCAGGGTATCCTTGTAACGGCGAATCTGGCCTTCTTGACGGCGAGAACCCGTCGAGACGTCTCCGTAGAAGAGTCGTTTGGGAAGTCGCTCGTCGTCCATGCGCACCAGGTGGCCGCTCCAACGCAGCTGCATTTGTCTCAGTATGACGTAGATGCTGAGGATTCCCGTCCGTTCCAGCACATCAGTGTCGGGGATTCGATCCTGCCACTTCAGCCTCAGGATGCGACGAAGACAACTGAGGTGGAAGTGGTTCAGTCGGCGTGCCTGTCTCGTGTACACCGTCCAAGTCTCCGCTCCGTAAAGTAGCGTCGGCAGGATGACGGCCTTGTACATCTTCAGCTTCGTGCTCAGCTGAAGACCGTGGCGATTCCAAACTGTGCTTTGGAGGCGACCGAAGGCTTGACTGGCGTTCGAGATCCTGTTGGCGACTTCGTCGTCGATCTTGGTGTTGCGGGAGAGAGTACTGCCCAGGTACGGGAAGTTCTCCACCACTTGCAGTTGGGTCCCGTTCACGCTGATTTGCGGCGGCGCGTTGGGGGCTGTGACTGAGTGGGGTGGCGGTTGATGCATCACCACCGTCTTCTGCGTGTTAATGACCAGACCGAAGTTCTCGCAGGCGGCGGAGAACAGGTCCATGCTCCGTTGCATCTCCTCTTCCGAGGTGATGTTCAGGGCGCAGTCGTCGGCGAAGAGGAGTTCGTGAACGGTGGTTGTGGATACGCGCGATGGGAAGTGCATCAGCCGTTGATTCAGGAGGTGACCGTCCGTCCTGTAGGCGATGCGGATCCCGAGGCGTTCGTCGCGGTAGGCGTCCATCAGCATGGCAGAGAACATAAGACTGAAGAGGGTAGGCGCCAGTACGCAGCCCTGCTTCACTCCATTGGTCACTGCGAATGCCTCTTAGACTTCTACAAAGTTAACACACACCCTTTCCTCCTAGTTTATTACAGTCGATGAAACGTGTGTGTGCTTCTAAGGTCCCCTTTTCATGTTTGAACTTGAAGAGGCCAAAAGGTGGTGGGTCACCGCAAAAGAAGTTCAAACTTTAAAAAGCGATCAGAAAAGTGGCGGCCTCCATTGCTTTTTCTTCTGTAAAAGGCATATCGTAATGTTTTCCCCTGAAGAAGGTCGGGCCTTGACATTTGCTTATTTTAATTAACTACATCTACCAAAAGCGTTTCTGCCTTCGTGGGGGGTCGCCCGATGACGGGATCGCGTGACTGGCTCTAATGATATGAAAATCCACCTGCAAGCAAAAGTAAACTCGTAACGTATCTCACGATTGCATCTAGATTAAATTTCGCTGAGTAATTCCTTGGTTTTCCGACATCGCGCTTTTAGTTTCTGCACCTTTGTCAAACACCTGCGTGGAAACCGATGTAAGACGAGGTAATTGGTTCCGAAAGCTACCAAGCCCAAACCATTTAAACTCAAAAACACGATTTCGGTGAGTATTTTAACGCCCAAGATCATGACTTCAAAGAGTTTATTGACAGCAGTGGAAATTATGTCGAAGATGGCAGGATAAATAGTCAGTAATTAACCATTTCAGCTCTTCAGATTTTTTCCTTTGAAGTTTCCGAACATATGACGCTTCGTTGTGAAGTTGCTAGACTAAATCATGCTCAAGGCGCCTGTTGTTGCTCAAAGCAAAAAATCTTGTTCCTTTTGATGACAACGTTTGCTCACACCTCCCTTAAAAATCGCTGCAGGTGTTAGGTGAATTAGGCAGTTTTCAGTCAGCATACCGGACATCGGGTGATACAACCGAGGTGAACTGATCACCTTTTTGTTTTTTTACGAAAGTGGGTTTCTCTTTGGAGGGACAGACTGTCGAGAGTGCGTGCTTAGTTTAAAAGTCAATTATGAAGGCCGTGTCCCATCCCTTATGGAAGCCTCTGGCTCTACTCCTCCCTTGGTGTTTCCAACTATCGACCGGAGTTTCTCTGTCCAAAAGACTTTTCCCTAACCAACTCTAATTGAAGACTTTTCTGTAGCTTATGTTAACCGGTTTTTAATATCGTTGCTTCATCAGTATTGCATCATTCAATAAACTGTCTTCATCTTCATAGCTATCCGACGGCTGATTGGAATATTGTGCTGTCTATCGACCCTCATAACAGATCAGGTGACGAACCCCTTATAGTTGATCGTTCAGTGAAGGATCCTAAAGGAACCGGCAAATCAACTCCTACAAATAACAAAAAATACGTCGGGTATTAAAACCGCACCAACTACATATCACTTTTTCCTCCACTTCGGCATATTATTGTACGAAAAAGTCTCCCGAAATCAAGAAACAGCTAAGAACACCGTCCAGGAAGTCAATGGTCTTGGTGTCTAGATTTCTGGCAGGAAAGGAAGAAGATGCTTTTGAATAATTGTAAAAAGTATGCAGAAGTAAACGATTTTTTATTCCGATCATTGGGTCCCATTCGGAAGCCCTCAAGGCTATGCCGGTAAAAACCTAAACTCAATTCGACTGTAGGGGGACGCTCACCAATCGTTCCTACGGAGCTCACTCGTTCCGTTGTGCCCTACGGGCTCTCCTTCTTTCGCAATTAATAGTATGCGGCAGTCAAGACCGGTCGTCCCCGAGATTTTCGCATTTGGAAAGTGGACAATGAGTGAACCATCGCTATCGATATGTCCTCACCATACTTTATTTGCTTTTTATTTTGCTTTGATGTCCAGTATAGCATATATTCTACATGTGGAAAATGCCTCATTTATTAAACAGGTTCCGGTTTGCCTTGTTTAATTTCCTCGGAAATTAAACAAGGCATGTTGAAACTGGAGTTCATATACCAGAAAACACACAGGAAAGCTGGGGGACCCACTGACGAGCTGAACCCCTCGCAACTGCGTCAGGCAGCGGCATAAGATCGGCGAAACACGCGTGTCTGGGCTTTTAGCTAATACCTGTGTTGTTAGTACGGTAAATCATTGCACAAGGTTCCGGTTTATTCAGGTGACTGAGAGGCTTTCGCAACTGTTATGTTAAGTAACACAAAAGGCGTCCTGTCAAAAACATCAGAGTGCTTTCTATCTAATCACTCTTCATTGCGCGAGTATCTACCGCAGGTTAAACTTTATTCCTCAGGAGTCCCACACTCAAATCTTCGAGCATATCATGCAGCAGATCATCTGAAAGGATATTTATCCAACACTTTAGGGTTGGGTGTGGCTGGCTGACGGCGGCTAATAAACCAGAAAGAGAGAGGGGGGATTCGCTTTATTTTGAAATCATAACTTCAACATTTCCAGCAAAAAAATTGACTCCATTCACTATGGGTAGTAAATAAATAATAGATTACTCAAGAGTCAAAAAATTTAACACAAAAGGCACGATTATTATGGGGACAGTTCAAGTCTTAGCTTCTGCATTTCTATCTCTTCACTCGTAAGCTAGCGAGCAATACAAAAGCTCGAAAAGCGGATTTGTGACAAGACATAAGTCAGAAACTGCGACGCATCGGGCGGGAAGACTTCGCAGAAATAAGATCAGAAGGCAAGGGATGGGCAACGTCATCTATATCCGACCAGGAAATTGCTTGACTGTATTGAAATGTCGTTGTAGGATAGTGCCGACTAAAAAAGATAAGAAATGGCCATTCCATTTTCCCTTGTCTTTGTCGTTAATGTCATTCTGCCTCTATCACACATCGCTTTGTGGCTGTTGGTTTGGCTCGAGAGTGAGGGCTCTAAGGCAAAACGGGACGAGTGAAAACGATCGGTGGGCGCCCCTCTACAATTTACCTGTGTTTCTTTATTTTAGCGTTAGTTTTCTGGGGTGTGGTGGTGTCCAGTTGTGTGTCCACGTGATGGTTGTAGTATGTCACTCACTTGCTTGCAGGTGTTGACTACGCCTACCGTCCATTAACTGGCAACCAATTCTTGGCTGTGGCTCACCGAAGCTAGGCTCTGCCTAGCAGCCACGTCCCCGACCGGGGGACTAAACCAGGTTGCGGGTATCTTGCATGGTGCGTTCCCCCAACCGATACGTTGCTTCCATTCCCATCGCTACTTCCGCCGCCCACCCTCTCCGCCCCCCAATTCAAAAGTCCTACGGAAAGGGCGAGGATCACCGCCGGCTGGACGGGCCACCGCCTCGTCACCCCCATGAAGACGCTCCGTCTGCAACCCTTCAGGAGGCCACAAAGTAAGTGACCACCAGGTAAGTTAAATACAGTTCTGTTGCATACAGTTCTGCTGAATTTGTCTGCTCACCGTTTACATCTCGGCAATCAGTTAGCTCAGAGAGGGAGATCTCTGGTGTTATGTCTAAACAGCCAGTATGTTCGTTCCCTTCCCCCCCTGCCCCACCCCCTACCCACGAACATGGAGAGGGTCTTTAGAGTTGTGTGTGTGTGTCCCCAGACCCGGTAACGCTGCTGCCCCCCCCCTATCCCTACTCCCGCCCCACATCATCCCCTTTCTACCACCATCTTCCCACTCTACACTCTTCTTCTACGATCGAAAAGCCCTACGACGAGGGCAAAATACTATCACGCGGGCCACCCAGGCCAAACGGGTCGTTCCCTCACTATGCCAATCTATTACACATAATGAGGTTCGGCAGCCGTCTGAGACGTCTGAACAGCCCAATTTAGGGACAGCACTACACACTCTATAGTGGGGAGGACGGGGATGAACAAACAAATGCTGGATTCATGGCGCCTGCGCGCAGACCGCTGCTTGAAACAGTCCACGCAACAGCAACAACCCTTGTCTCCGTCCCCTCGCCCTACCCTACAGACTGCTAGAGCGAGCCCGCTCAATCTAGCAGCCTGGAATGTCTGTTGCCTTTCACATAATCGCAGGAGCAACCGACCGGAACGGAGGACGGCGGCAGAAGCTCGGGAATTGGCGCGATACAGGTTGGATATTGCCGCAGTTAGAGAAACCTGATTCCCTGACCATGACCAACTGGAGGAGGTGGGTGTCGGTTACACCTTTTTCTTGAGCGGCCGCCCACAGGCACCGCGACGCGACGCCGGTGTCGCGTCTGCCATCCGAATCGACATCGTGGGACGACTGCCCTGTCTGCCTCAGAGCATTAATGATCGCCTGATGAGCTTCCTTCTGTCTCTTCAGGGATCCAACTTCGTCACCATTATCAGCGCCTACGCCCTACCAATGACCGGCTCAGACGAGGCAAAGTCTAAGTTCTACGAGGACCTGCACACCCTTCTGACGCCTGTTTTAAAGGCGGATAAGTTGGCTGTCCTTGGTGACTTCAATGCCCGCGTCTGGGCAGGCTACGCTGCCTGGAGGGGAGCGCTGGGTACGCACAGAATCGCCGGCTGAAACGACAATGGCCTGTTCCTCACACAAACCTACGTTGAACACCGCCTCCTGCTGACCAACACATTCTTTCGCCAGGCAATAATGAAGAAGGCTACCTGGATGCACTGCCGATCATGGCGCTGGCAACTGCCGGATCGCCTTCTCATCCGACGGTGAAATCGGCTGGCCGTGATGGTGGCCAAGACAATCTGTAAGGCCGATGGCCGAACGGACCACCACCTAGTCATCTCCGAGATGAGGCTCCGTCTGCAACCCCGCAGGTTGACACCAGGTAAATGACCCTTAGGTAAGCCGACTACTACTTTGTTTTCATTGCCTTCTCATAGTTTACATTTCAGCAATAAAATGACCCAGCGACTGGAAGGACTGCCAGCTACAGATAAAAACGCCTCCACATGGACCTAGTAGGTCACATTCGCATTCACGAAAATCTGCAGTAGACAACCGCCGGCTAAACTACACCATCACATCTTCCTCCACCAACATCCGCATCACACAACATGTTCACCCACCAAAATCATCCAGCTGCCAGTGGGAAGTGTGCGTCTCGGCCCGTCTCCATGCTTCTTCTCTGCCGAATATGTGATCCAAGTCCGAGGCTGCCACGGTGCGACAAGCACTGCGGCCTGGAAGGCTGCTGACTGACGTCCAACCCAGTCCACTCAGTCTGGCCAGTCGTGTGTGCTTGTGTGCAGTGGCGTACTGGTGGGCCGAGAGCCAGGCCGAAACGGCTTCTTCGTAACGTGACCTATGGAACTCTCACGCTTGTGAGATGTATGCCGCCTAACCACGTTTTGTAAAGCCATGGTGCTTGTATTTGGAGGACAAGGTCGTGCATGTAGCGCGCGCAGCCCAGGTCACCAGATATGTCAGCCACCGCGCCCATCCTCCACACCTGTCAACTGACCGGCTCGGACAGTGACTGGGGCATAGGAATGGGAAGCGAGAGTGAGGTCGACGACTCATCACATTTTCCTCACTATAAAAAACCTGACGCGCTTGAAGCTATCACAGTGCACTAAAAGCCATAGCTTGGAAGTTTCGCAACTGACAGGATAACTTGGACCTCGCAGTCGGCCCTGTACTGTATGTTTGTGTGAAGCAGCCGACTAGTTGTCTAAGAGTCAGGCTGCAATGGCTCCTTCTTAATGTGGCCTTTATGGCACTCCCACTCCGTGGGATCTTAATCGGGTGTGGTGGCACGCCTAGAGACGGCCTCGGCCGCGCCAGCCCCTTTTGTTGCCGGTTAAAATCATGGTCATTTTCTGTTTGGACCGAGGAAAGTGGAGTGGAATGCCATGGTGCGGGCTCGGCCGTGCCATCCACCGTTGCCCCTCCCTGTCTCCGATCTTCTTGACTCTGTTTTGACATTTACTATAAACTAATTAACACAAATCACCGTGCCTACTTATACATTGTTGTGAAGCACCCGGTGAATCTAGTCGGGAACGACGGTCGAATTTTCGTGTCCTTGGCCGCGCTCGTCGCCAGTACCAGGACTGGTTCGACAGCAACGACGCCGCTATCAGTAACCTGCTCACCGAGAAGAACAGGCTACACAGAGTTTATCTTGACCGTCCAATCGATGCGAATAAAGCGGCCTTCAGTCAGTATCGCCGCCTAGCGGCGCAACGGTTGCGAGAAATGCAGGACTCCCGAATGGCTCGCAAGGCCAAGGAGGTCCAATGATATGCCGACCGCAACGAATCAAGGAATTTCTTCGCTGCGATCAAGGCGATCTATGGTACCCCGACCAAATGAACCGCATCGCTTCTTAGCTCCAATGGATTGACGCTATTGACGGAGAAGTCGCAGATTCTGAAATGCTGGACCGACTACTTCAGAAACGTGCTCACCTGCACTTCCACAGTCTCAGATGCCGCCATCGACCGGCTCCCCAAGCGGAAATCAACGTTAAACTAGACCTCCTTCCCTCCCCCCCTCCCCAGAAATTATTAGCGCCGTACAACAACTCTCCAACGGGAAAGCACCATGCTCCGACGCAATCCCAGCCGAAATTTACAAATACGGCGACCTCCGCCCGATGGACCCAGTCACCACGTTATTTCAGGAAATGTGGCGCTGTGGTCAAGTTCCTCAGGACTTCAAGGACGCAACCATTGCTCAATTCTATAAACGCAAAGACAACCGACACATCTGTGACAAGCACAGAGGCATCTCACTACTCAACATCGCTCGGCAAATCTTCCCCCGCATCCCCTTCAATCGCCCCAACGGACTCCTCGAGCAAGGGCTTCTGTCGAAATGACAATGTGGCTTTCAACGACACCGGTGCACCATCAACATCAAGTTATCCGCTCACCAGCTACAAGAGAAGTGCTAGGAGGTGTGAACTCACTCCTATACGACCCTCGTGGACTTGATGAGAGCCGGCGGAGATCTCCCTGCCATAACGTACTAGGTACAAATGTTAACTTGCCGAAGCTGCTACTGCTTCGTTTTGGCACAGTATACCGGAAACGTGTACATGGTGTCCAACATCTACAAACAGTTTGGTTACTGGAAGAGGTATGGTTGTTGTCTATGTTAGTGCAGGCCAACTTTTAAAATTATGCCCCTTTTAATTTCCGAGGGAATTAATGAACGAACTTGGAATAACGCCTTTGAAACAAACTCTGTTTAAGCTTTAAGTTCGTATCGGTACTGTCGGTATGGGGAATTACTGTGTATTTGTATACTGCTGACTGTCTTTTAGCAGTTTATGAATAGTACGTGGTCATCCTGACGAAACTGTTGAATTCCCGCGCACATGTTTATATCAACAGTCGTGCCATCCGTAAATCTTCATTTGGTCTGATTTACTTCAAACTAGCGCATTAATTTCTGAGGAAAATGAAATCTCAAAATTGGAGCATTTACCAGAATAAATGCCAGAACGCTGGGGGACTCATTGATTGGTTGGACCCCTCGCGGTTCCGTCATGCGGCGGCGCAAAACAGGCGGTATGATGAATCATTCAGAATTATGCAAAGGTATTAGGATTATTCACCGTCTTTGGACGGAAAAGTAAAGCTAACTCACTCCCACACCCCCGCCCGTTGTTAGCTTTTCTGTTTTTGTTGTTTTTTGGTCTAAACCATACCTTGATTACAAGTTGCCGAGAGTATGAGTGCAATGCTAGAGGGCGCTCACCGATCGTTCTTACGGAAGTTACGTGTTTCGTTGTGCTCTACGGGCTCTCTCTCTCTCGAGCCCAACCAGCAGCCGCACAGCGGCGCATGTTATAAGCAGTGTGTTATTACCGACAAAGACAATGGAGGCTGGAATGGCCATTTCTGGCTTATTAGCCGTCGTCAGCCGGTCATACCCAACGCCGACGTGTGGAACACCCGAGGCTCGAACTTGCGACCTGTTAGTTAGAAGCCCACGCCCCTAACCACTGGGCCACGAGCCCGTTGCCCGTATTAGTGTAACCTACAACTACCTTATATGCCAAGGCTTGAATTGCATGTACACACTCTTTAGAAATGAAATTTGAGCTTTATTTCTTAATCAGCCAGAGTATGAGTCCCTGTTCCCTTTTTCTGCTGCCAAACACCCTGCAAAGTTTTCCTTGAAAGTATTTTAAGAATTTTATGGCAACTTCAAGGATGTTATTTCATAATATGGTTATCTTCCAGTGTGAATCGTTGTCAGTGGCTTCGTAAATTTGTAAATTACACACCTAGTTTTGTCAACATTCTTCGAATTTTATTGCGTAAGATCAAGACAGAATGCAACCAATCCGATGGTGAAGTGTGCTTTCATTTCAGCGTAGTATGCATTAAAGTTCATGCATATGTAACAACGATCACGAGAATAGTCTCCACCTCTTGACCTTCTTACTGCTGTGACGTCTCTCACATCGGCGCATGTGGAATGCATTTCTGCATGCGATCAACTACCTCAGACCTGGAGAATAAGTCAAATAAAATTCTATGGGCAACGAGGGTTGTTTTTCAAAAACAGGCCTTTCGACAATAAGGGAAGTTCACTTTATCCACAGCGCCTCATGCCTTTGATGTAAAAGTTTCGACTCTCTAAGGTGTAAAACTCGGAATAATTTTTCTCAAATCCGTGGCGCACTGCGCTCCTTGTAGGATTCGTGAATATGCTATAGTAATCATCACATCCACAAAATATTCCCCCTGGAACTGAGATAAGTGTTTAACAATTGACCAACAGTTAACGAACGGCCTTATTTAATTTCCGAGGAAAATAATACGCGAACTCAGAGTAAATCCTCCGGAACAGATCTTTTCAGCCTCGGTCCAAAATTTGAAATGAATATTTGAGCTGGAATCCACCAGCTGCTGCGGAATAACCGCGTAATATTCATTAGCCGTCAACAGGCAGCCCAGTAGTATACAACCACGTAATTATTTACCGCACTGACGACACAGGTACCAGCCAAAAGTCCAGCCACGCTCGTTTGGCCGATCTTGCGCCGCTACCTGACGCAGCTGCGAGGGGTTTGGCTCATCAGTGGGTCCCCCAGCTCTCCCGTCTGTTTTCTTGCATATAAACTCCAGTTTTGGCCCTCTACGCCCACCCACTCCTTTGGTGCCGCCACTCGCAGATTCGGCCGTCAACTTTGTGCGAATTTTTACTCCTCTTTCTCACAAAACTGAATTTATCAAATGTGTAACAATGATTTATACGTCAAACGATGTAACGCCAATTTCAACTCCCTGCGATAGAGTAGTTTTCCACAACATTTTACTGAATCCATCTAAACTTGTTTTCTACATGTGCCAATTTGGCAAGCGGAGACCGTGTGGTTCATGTCACTGTAGCATAGATTGCATAGACTGCTAAGATCCGGTCAACATATTTTAATTATTTTAGAACAAACTGAGATGCCTAAGTCTATGTAGGAAGTATTGAACATGTCGCATGTGAGTAGATCAGACGGCCAG